TAGCTATTACCGCACCTCAAATGCTAGCAGATTTTTGAGCCTGGAATATCCACATTTCTCTCTTCATGGCTGTAGAGACTCAAGCAGGACTCTTCTGAAAATATTAATGGAAAATGCTGGGAAGGAAAGACGATGGGGCTGCCTCTGCTGGTTGCCTGGGGCTCAGATTGGAAAGGAGTGGATGGGGACAGTGCAAGGCAGCCTGGAGCTTTTGGGGACATTAGATGCCCCAGTGGAAGCTGAGGGAGAGCAGTTTTGTCCTTCCTGACCAGCCTGGAGATGGACGGTGTCCCCTGCAGAGAGTGAAACAAGAGGGGAGGACCCCAGAGGAGGAGTCACCCCAAACCCCAAACCTGCAGCCACGGGTCTCTGCCCGCACACAGGTCTGCACCCCTTCTCTCTGAGGCCCTCTCTTTCGGGCTCCCTCCATGGCCTCTAAGCTGGTCAGTGCCCCGGCTCTTTCTAACCTTGCTGCCTCCAGAATGGAAACAGAAAAGTCGGCCTGTGTTATGCACTGCCCACCCCCAGAAAAAAGAGGGGGCATTTCGCCCTGCAGGTTCAAGAAGAAAGCAGTGGAACCCCAACATACAATTTTAATGTTGTTTATATTACACCCACAATGGAAAATGTTTTCTCTAAAAGGCGTATAATGTATTCTTTCTCTCTGTAAGGCCTTGCAGATGTGAAAGTCACAATTTCGAGTTCCTGACTTTCCTCGTTCCATTTAGAAGTTAATCCAGGCAGGCAAAAGGGTTGCTTGGACTGCCGCAGGGAGCCTCGCGAGCGGACTGGGGTGAATATCATGTGTGAAGAGACCCAGCACTCCTCGAGTCCCAGGTCCCTGGCTGAGATTTCGGGGTACAGGCTTGGGTGAAAGCATCCCGCCCGCCCGCCCCGCCTGAGCGCGCGCCCCTGAGGTCACGGCCGGCAGCTCCAAACGGGGGCTTTTGCTCCAGACCCGAACCCACCCGGCAGAGATGGCACTAAATCTCGATTTTCTCCTCCGTTTCAAAAAGGCGGGGAGTTTGTCAGTCCCTGCCGGGTTGAACCCACGCGGGAGGCTCGGGAAAGCCCAGAGCGACAGGAGGAAGTAGAGCCTTGCAGGCCTCGGAACTCGCGGCGAAAGCACGACGGTCCTGCGGGCGCCGCATTGTTGCCGAGCGCTCGACGGGAACTCCTGGGTTGCCATGGTGACCAGGAAACCAAGGGCCCCTGCAGAACCGGTCGCCCTAGAACTTTTCTTTGCCACCCCCCTGTCAGGGGCACCCCCCACAAGCCTTGGTCAGTTTCACCCCCAGGGTTTTCCGGGTGCGATTGTGCACGGCAGCTGGGCGTCTGGGGTCCCCGCTTCCGGACCCTTCCGTCGGGGCTGCCCCCGAAGGCCAGAAACCCAGCACCCGGAGACCACGGGGTCTGGGGTTGGTGGGGGGGGAAGGGAGGGGACCCGCTGCGGCGCTCGAGGCCCCGGGCTGAAAGGGAAGAAAAATTAGAGGTCTTGACCAAGCAATCGTTTTGGTGACGGATCCTTCCAGTTTGGGGTCTGGCGCCCCTCGTCACCCGCACCCCCACACGCGTCCCTTCACCTCTTCAAGGTCATTACTAGAGTTCTCACTCGCAGCTCCGAGCGGGGAGGCCGCTGCGTCCTCTCCACCCCCACTTCCCTGCACCCGAGCAGGGCTCCTCCCGCGGCTGGGGCCTGGAGCCGTTCTGGCAAGTTTCTTCCCGAAAGAGAGAAGCAAGGGATGCCGGGCGGAGCCGTGCAGATTAAGCTAGCTATTCAGCGTCAGTATCCGAGCTTTTCAGGTTCTCTAGACCCAGGCAGGTCCAAGTCCGAGAGCTTGGTCAGACCTTAGGAATTTCCAAAATCACTGGCCTGGCTCGTTTTGGCTATAAAGTCAATGTTACCTGAATCATATCTTGACTAGGAGGTATCAAGCTGAATTTTCTTAAAGGTGGGGGGCGGGGGAGGACTGTCACCACTCCTATCCCCTTTGTTTGCTTTGTTGCAAACAGTCCACCTCCGAACTCCCTGCAGCACAGACAGGAACCGTGTCCCTTTCCCCTTAAAGAAAGTGCTTTATGAAACATCGGATTGGGTTCTCTTCCGTGTGGATGTCTTGCTCTGTGAGGCCCAGGCTGGCTGGAAGGAGGTCCACGGGCAGCCAGAACTGGAGTCGCGGTTTCGTCTCTGGTTTTGAATCCGGCCCTTTGAGCAAGCTTAACACGTGTGGATTTAATTTCCCTTTCTTTCTCGCTTTCTTTTCTCCCCCCCACCCCTTGTGAGGGAACAAGAAAAATAGTCTGCCGTGTCGACAGCGCGACACCGTTCCCTTTGCCAAAGAAAATTTGTCTTTCCAGAGCCCCAGAGAGCAGTGGGTTCCCAAATTTCCACTGCACCCTCCAGTTGAGGGAGGGGGTACCCAGACAGGCTCTCCGCCAGACCGGGAGGTATTAGCCGGGGTCTCCATTGTACTGGGTCAGAGCCCTGGAATTCAGTATATTTTCCCCACATCTTTTGGGGGCTGTGGGGACAGGCTGACTACACGGGAGGCCTTTCTGTGGGTTCTGGGCTGTAGATAAGGTTGGAGTGCTCAGGCTCAGTGCAGCCCATGGGGTAGGAGGTAGCTCCAGGTTCCCTCTCAGTTCAAGACCCTCACCCTTCTCCTCCACAGAGGACTCCCTAAATTGGAGAGACAAAAACAGAGATGTTCCTTTGCATCCTGAGCCATGCTCCTTACCACCTTCCCTGCTCTTTGGGCATTTGCAAAGCTCTAGCCTTGAGATCTCAGCTGGGCCTCTAGAATGATGCTCCCACTTCCATTTCTCATTTTATTACCCTGATGGGGGGGGTACCTCATCCGCCAAACTTGGGGGAGTGGGGAGGAATGTTTCCAAAGCACAGGGAAGAACACCAACGTGAACGAGAACAGTAGCAATAATAATTCTCGGTGAAAATACTGGAGAAGAATATTGGATATTAAAATAATAGCAATAGCCAGTATTCTTCCCAGATGCTTCCGGTCCGAAGGGAAGAAGCTAGGAATGGAATAAAACATTGGGAAGGGAGATACCATCGTCCTGGAAACAAAAAAAATAACAGAGCCAGATTTAACTAGGCAGGAGGGGAAGTGACCCCCTGAGAAACGAGGGAATTTCTCTCCCTTAGTCTGACTCCCTCTTTTGCAAAAGGAGTTGGTCCAAGTTTGGTCATATCTATTGTTATAATTCTTATTCATTTTCCCAGGCCCTTCTGCTCTTCTCCCTACTTGTTGGCCTCCAGGAGAGACCCGAGTCAGGCAGGGATGCATCGGAGAAGAAACGGAAAAGAGGGTGTCTTCTTAAGCCAGTTCTTTTTTAGGGAGGAAAGAAAGAAGGTGGTTTGGGACTCGACTTTCTCAAAAACAGAAGCCAGAGTGAAGATCAACAGTGGTCTCCACTTGCTTTTGCCTGGTTTTGTTTTGGACTTTTTAAGTGGGAACCTCTATTCTTCTATCCACGGTGATATTAAAATCAGGGCCGGAATTTTGCACAATGAGTAAAATGCGTTGCGGGGAGGGGGGCGGCAAACGCAGCTGGGAGCAGGTCGCGGAAAGCGGCGATCCACCCTGAGAAGGAGGGGAGGCTGCATGTTGCCGCCTCGCTCTGGAACTTACTGCCCAATGCCTGGGGGAAAGAATGGAGATGCTCAACACTGGTGGAGGTCTTTAATTTATTCGGCTCGTGGTCTGGCCTCCTCCGGAGCGTCCGGAACAGCGGGTAGGGGAAGCTGAGGCTTCGGAATCCTCTGCGAGCTGGTCCGGGGGGTGGCGGTGCTCGCGCCGGGGATGCGAGAGAAGCGAGCCAAACGGAAAGGAACTCGCCCCGCTCGGAGTTTCGCCTTCCCCTTCCAGCTCCGGCGGGGCCCAGGCCTCCGTTTCCGGCCCACCTCGGCCCAGAGGTCAAACGGGAACCCATCTCGAGGCCTCCGGCGAAGGATTTCGGCTTGCACTCTTGGCGTCTGGGAGCCAACGCTGCACCCAACGGGCCTCGGATCAGGGAAAAGATAATTAATAACTTGGGAAACGAAAGAGAATTGGGGGCAGTCGCTGCGGCCTGGCCGGGCGGAGGGACTTGGGTCCTGCTTGCTGGAAGCCCCAGAGTCTGAGGCCCGGCTGGCCCGGGCGCCCGCGTCCGGCGCTGGAAACCTCTGCCCTTACTCCCCGCGGGCCTGACCTTGGCTCCTGGGGCTGCTCGGTCGGCTGCGTTCCTGACTTTTCGCGGCCGCTCAGGCCCCAGACGGCCCGGGCCCGGAGCCAGGCCCTGCTTCGGAAAGCCCTGGGGGTTAGGGGCGAGCGAAACCCGGGATGGAACCCCGAAGCTGGGGGCAAGGCCAGATTCCGACGACCGCTTCCCTCTCTGCCCCTTGGCGGGGAGCTTACCCTTGCGGAAGGCCCGGCGCTCGCTTGCTCAGTCCCAGGCAGGCCTAGCTCTTCCCCCGCAGTACGTTTTCGCAACTGCACCCAGCGCGTTCCCAGCTGCGCGCAAAACCTCGAGCGCATCCGCCACGGGGCGCTTAGAAGTTATGCCCATTGGTGAGACCAAAAATAATGCCAGTCCTTATTGCAAAACAAAATAGAGCGTCTCACACCCAGTGCAGCTCCGGTCGCTGTAATTTTTCTCTGCAGAAATCACCCCCTCTACCCCCACCCCACCACCCACTCGCACCCCGCCCCGGCCAGGCCAAGCTGGGACGAGTTGCATCCCCGGACCTAGCTAGAGGAGCTCTCGCAGAATGGACTTTTTCTCAGCAAGAACATTGCGGACGCCTCTCTTTCTTCCACGCCTCGATCTCATTTCCCCTGCGCGATAACCCGGTAATTACTTATATGCAGGTCTGCAAGCCGGCGCTGACTTATCGCGTCCCAAACAGAACCAGCTGGAGCGGCGCCTCGATATTCGTTTGCCGAGAGCTCCTCCTCAGAAAAAAGTATTTTTTTTTTTAAATAATAAAAGGACTCTCGTGCCTCCTCCAAGGGACCTCGGTCCACCCCGGAACAATTTGATTTCTTCCCAATCGTGGGCCGACGTGGGCTCCTACCTCCCTTCGCCAGGAGCCCCCCCCTCCTCCCTAAGAAAATCGATCTTGGCTCTATTTGTTGCTTGATGTTCGCCACCCCCATTTCCCCAGAGAGCGCTGGGTTTGTTTATTTCTTTATTTATTCCCGTGGCCGAGACGTCTGGGACTTGGGGCTGCGCAGACCCGGGGCTGATAGGCGAAGACCGACAGAAATTAACCTCCCGCCGTTGCCCCCCAGTCGAGCGTGATAGCGCGCGGGCCGGTTGCGTGACTCGTGACGTCTCCAAGTCCTATAGGTGCAGCGGCTGGTGAGATAGTCGGTATCGCTTGGTTGCCTCTTTATTTTATTGGGGTGCGCCTGGTAATAAATAGTAATATTTAGTTTGTCGAAGACCACAAACCAGCCTCGAGCTGGGAGGTACATACTACTCTTGACAGAGGTTGGAAGAAGGCTTGGCCTAAAAGGGGTCTCTTTTGGGGGCCCTTGGGAAACTCTTCACTTGAACCCCCACTCCCGCGCAAGGCACCACTGCTGGCTTCTGCGTTGGAAAGAAGAGGTGGGATTTTTGGAGGTGAGTGTCCCCCATAGCTATGGGGGAGGGATAGGTTTCGCTGGGCACTTGGCCTGGCAAAGACCCCCTGGCTTCCCCGCCCCAACTCGGCCCTGCTGAATACCCCCTCCCAGAGATGCTGTTTTTCACGGTGGAAATAAGAATGCACTCTTTTGCATTTTGCCTTGGAGTGTCACCTGGCAGGAATAGATTCCCGCTGGAGGTTTCAAAATCCCAGTTTCGCCTGGGGTCCAGCACAGCCTGCACTCCACAGACCAAGTGAATCTGGCTAGGCAGTTACTTGGGGGAGTTCAGATTTGCCCTCCCGGGAGGGGCCTGCAAACTATTTATGGGAATTTATTTTATCCGCAAATCTCAGAGAGTTTAAAGGGATTGGAGAAGTCTTTCTGGATTTCCCCTTCCTTTTGCCAGAGATGCAGAGATTCAAGCTCATCCTGAAGCCATGTTTGTTTCCAGTCTTTGGCCCGGGGTCACCTCCTTAGCAAGCCCAAAGCCCTCTGAGCTGACATTCTGGAAGGGTGAGGGTGTTTTCACACAAATAAATAAACTGCTGTGGTGAAAGGTTGTTTGCAAACAAACCTGGAAGGTGGAGTGAGAACTGTAGCTGACAGCTGGGCTTGCTTCCCCCCCCTGGTCGCCCCACTTTTAGGGATGGAGGGTCCGCTTTGTAATTTTGCAAGGGGTGTGTTACACCCAGCCGGCTGCTGATCTCCAGCGCATTTCTCCTCTCTCCATCCCTCTCCCCAGACCTTGGCCTGCAGGCCCAAGTCTCTAGTCAGAGCCCCAGAAAAGAATAAGGTGAGGGGGTAAGGGAGGCAAGGGGGGGGAAACGGAAGGGAACCCTGACATTTATTCCAAGCACCAATACTTGGTGCTCCAAACTGGGTCTGCTCAGGCTAAGACCTACTCACTGTGTTTACGCTTCTATTGACCTCTTCAACCCGCAAAATAATACATTTCAGAGAGGGGGAGGGCAGGGAGAGGGGCCCAGTGGAGATGAAAATCCCAGCTAGTCTCCCATGACTGTTTGATTATTTTAATAAAACTGGGTACCGCCTGGCGTACACCTCCAGCCAGGGAGGTCTGCTGGCCCTGGGGGTGGGAGCCCCCAGCAGTTTCTTGGCATCTTTGATCTGGGCCCCCATCCCAATGCACCTTCACCCTGCCTTCACCCTGGAGTCGCTGGGAGTCGGGGTGGTGAGTGGGGAGGGGGAGAGATGTCAGGGCGGCCGTCGGCCGGTCAGCCGGGCCAGGCGGGGTCACACAGCTCTGTCTTGAGGTCAGCGTTGGAGGGAGAACGTGGGCCAGGCTTTCAGAGGAGGCGCGAGGCGTGTGTGTGCAGCGGAATGCATTCAGACTCCGTTCTCTGCATGGCCGTGTCCCCAAGATTACTTCCCAGGCAGAAGCCGACTGGGTTTGCGATGATTTGTGCAGAATTTTTTGCAGCCACCGAGCCGAGCTCAGAGCAGCAGAGATGGATGGAGGTTGGGAAGGGGGTGGAGAGGAGGGGTGATCTCCAGGTCTGGGTTTGAGAGTAGTGCTGTGATTTGAGTGTTCGGGAAATCTAATGGAAAAGGTGGTTGGGGGAGGGAGTGAGAAGAGAGAGGGAGGGAGAGAGGGAAAGAGGGAGGGAGGGAGGGAGAGAGGGGGGGCGGGAAAGAGGCAGAGGCAGGCTGTGTGCAGTGGGAGCTAGTTGGATAGGCAATTTCAGTACTTTGTAAGCATCAAGGCAGCCCAACGTCACTGAGCTCAGCTGAGTCGGCTTGTATTTCTGAGAGAGAGAGAGAGAGAGAGACAGACAGACTCTCTTTCCTCGGATTCCAGAACTTTAACCCTGAAAGCGGCGCCCATAAAGGACCTTGACCATTCCCATAGCTCCCTCCCATCTCGCAGCTTCCCCTCCCCAGGGGTGCAAGTGAGGAGCAGGGTCCTGAGGTGTTAACGTTGAGGGTGCTCCCGGAGGCTGCTGCTTGCGTCCCTTGGAGCCCTTCTGGCGCCTGACAACTTGGAAGTCTTTAGGGAGAGCGAGCAAGCGAGCGCAGAGCGGAGGAGGTGTGTGTTGGAGGTGGGCAGTCGCTGCTGAGGCCCCAGCGGTGGGTGATCCTTTGGAGGCAGCGGTAGCCGCTAGGCTGGGCGAGCAGTCCCCGGCATAAGCCCCGGAGCCAGGATGCCCGCGCCCCCGCCTCGCCGCCGGCTTCCCTGCTAGGAGCAAGAAGGGATGTGGTGAATGCACCGGCTTCGCCCAGCGAGGTAACGGTCCCCGAAGATGGCCCGGGAGGCTCGGGAGGGAGCCCTCCGGCCGAGTGGGCTCCGGGAGGCGCGAAAGGCGGGACTGCAGCCCTGCCCGGGATTCTGCGGAGGCCGGCTTGCAGAGAGCTCCCGGCGCGTGGAGCCAGCCGGGGAGGCGCGCGGCCCGGGAGCGGCGTGGAGGTTTGCAGGACGCGCGGCCTGGTTCTGTCAAACTGCATCTAGCTCGCCCCCCCAGCCCTGAGCTGCCGCCGACCCCGACCGGGGTGCGGGATGCGATTGTCCCCGCGGCCGGCGGCGGAGGCGAGCCCACGTGGGGGACACCAGCCCCGGGTTCTTTTGTTGCAAGCCGGCTGCGGTGGCTCCCAGCACCTCCTCTCCCGAACCCCGAGGGTGTGGTGAGGGAAGCTGCTTGGGAGTCGGGCCTCGGATGCCGTCCTCCTCGGCCCCGCTCTGGGTCTCCAGCCCCCGCAGCCCTGGGTGGGACCCAGCCTCTGGCTGAAGTGGCTGCTAAGCTTTGGGGGGCCATTCTTGGCGCTCCCTTCCCAGTCTCACCGGGTTTTGAGGGAGGAAATCCTTACTTGGAAACGTGGAGGAGATTGGAAAGCGATCAGAGCGAGAGGCAGGCTCCTCCGGGCTTGAACAGTTCCGCAGCTGTTATTTTTCGCGTTCCAAACTCCTAAGCCTGCAACCCGGGCCCTTCTACCCCTTGCGCCCGACCCAGGAGGCCGATCCAATGCCTGAAGACTAGAATTTATCTGGGACGCATTAGATCCTCGCCGCCCCCCCCCCCCCCGCAAGCCTGGGCCTGCACTTCCAGCGAGCCAGGCCGGGCTGAAGCTCAGAGAAACTCCCCTCGGCCTGGCCGCTCGTCAAAATGCCGGTCCCGGGCTGGGCAGCCGAGGAAGCCGAGGTCGCCGGGAGAACGCACCGCCGGGGCAGGCGGCCGAGTGCTGGCCTCCGGCGCCCTGGAGCACGCCTCCCTGCGCACTGCCCCGCCGCCGCTTTCCTGCCCTTTCCTTTGGGCTACTTTTCATTTTTTTTTTTTTTTTTACTGTTGCTAAAAGTTGGGGGGAAAGGGGGAGGACTTTTACTGTTGAAGGACTTTTAATTTTAAGGCCTGTAACTGATAAAGGATGAACGTGAATTCTCCTGCCGACCAGGTCTCTCGATCTGCAAAATCTTTCCCCACCTCTGTTTTTGGTTTTGCAAGAGGCGGGTTGTTGCAGACATTTTGCCTGCTGCGGAAAAATATGCCTGTTGCGAGTTTTAATAAACGGGGCTCTGATGTCCTTCTGTGAATTTGACGAAGAAAAACAATTCTCAAAAGGACATTAGGTTTTTGTTTTGTTTTTGGTTCGTACCCAATGGCTTCCAAAAATACCCAGGCCTTATCTTTATTGGCTCTTCCAGAAGTCCAGACAAATTTGACCGGCAGCTGGCTTATCATGGGGGAGCCTGCGCAGGGGAGATGTGGGCCTCGCCTCCGCCTGGTCTGACCCGGGTCTTTCGCAAGAGGTTGTGCGTGGTCATAAAAGTACTAATAATGATAATAATAAGGGGACCTTCGGCAACCTCCTTCTGCAGGGAACGGAGGTGCTGGGAGCTGGAAACTGGGGACCCAGCTGCTCCCTCCTGTCACTAGAAGAGCGTTTCCAACCTTCTTTTCTCTCTCTCTGCCTCTCTCTCTCTCTGCTTCCTGTCCTCAGAGCAGGACCCTTCGCGGGGACAGGGCGCCGGGCACACCATGGCCGACGCAGACGAGGGCTTTGGCCTGGCGCACACACCCCTGGAACCTGACTCAAAGGATCTGCCCTGCGACTCCAAGCCCGAGAGCACGCTAGGGGCCCCCAGCAAATCCCCGGCGTCCCCGCAGGCTGCCTTCACCCAGCAGGTAAGAAGACCTCTAGCCTCTCGGCCCGTCGCAGAAACCGAAGGCCCTCCCGTGGGGGAGGGGCGGGGGGTGGGTTGCCCGTTGCCCGTTAATTGTCCCCTTTCCTTTCTATCCCCGCTCATTCCACCTTTCTGTGACCCGCATCCCCAGATCCCAGTATATATACTGCTATCCCTTTTACTGTGACAATAATCTTTACGGCCAGAGGAATTTGGACGTACATTTAAGTTGTTAGAGAAGGCTTAATTATCTGGCTATTTGGGGCCAGCTAACAATAGCCCAGATCAGGCCTTTGCTCCTGCGCTAGGTGTAGACTCAGCCCGGAGCACCTCATTAAGGGCTGGGTCAGCGGCCGCTTCAGGCCGGCGTGAGCGATGGCTTGACCCCTCTTCAGATCTTCCCCAGCCTCCGCCTCCGCCCACCTCCTCCGCGCCGCCGCCCGGGACCCGGGAGTTGCACTATTTGTCTTGGGCCGGGCTCTGGAGGGCTGGCGCGCCTTGGCCAGCGGCGGGGAGCGCAGGGCTGTGCTGGGAGGTTGCTGGGAGCCACAGGATACCTGGCTGGAAGCTGGGCCCGAGTAGAGGGTGAGGTCTCGGTGCACTCTGTACCTTCTTTCCTGGGTGCTCTGGATGCTCAAGGAGGCCCGCGTAGCTCTTGATAATTTACATAGGGTGTCAGATGGGGTGCCAAGCGGGGTGACTTGACCAGCAGAGATATTTGGACGTAGCCAAATCCTTTCTTTGGGATTTCGATCGATCGATGTCCTTCCTAGCTACTTTATCACCTGCGTCTTTGCCCTTCCCATCTCAGGAAGACGTGTGTATGGTTATAGAGAAGCAGAGGGCGGTGGGCACAGAGTTTGAGAAACTTCGATCGCTTTTCTTTTTGGAAAAGCAAATCCACTTACAAGACAGTTACGGATTATGGCAAAGCGAAGATTTTTGCGTATATATTTTTTTGCATCAGTTTTGTAAAATAACTTTTAGCTGAAAGTGGAAATGTTGAATAGTTTCGGCTGTGCCCAGAATCAAAACACCTCGAAGTGAACGAAGTTGGCTGTGAGGAGAACCTAGAAGGTTTGCTCCTAGAGACATTTGAGGATTAATTTTTTTGGACTGCTGGAACCTATTCTAGATACGTTTTTAAGTTGAGATATTCACATATGTCTATGTTTGCACTGCCATGGTAAGACTAAACACGCGTATGTACGGGATTTGCATGTCTGTGTGTTTGTGTGTGCTCATGTGGATGTCTACATAAGGATGTTCTGAGTGGGCTTTTGAGATGGAGCATTTTTGTTTTTGCTTTTGTTTTTTAGTTGCATCTTGACTGAAAGGGATTGAGATTGGTCCCTTTTTTTTTTTTTTTTTTTGGTCTCAGTCTGTCCTCCCATGGGCATGCTAGAGCACCCTGATGTTTGGGGACTTTTCTCTAGCTTTGTGTTGGTGGCATCAGGAGATAGCAGTGCACCATGGGGGGGCGTGCAGGGGGCCTGCACAGGGATTCCTATCCCCCCTCCCCGGGAGTCCAGGCAGCCCTGCCGTGGGCTGGGGGCAGTTCTCAGCCTCGGAGTCCAGAGACTCCGGAGGGAAGGAGATATCTGTGTTTGGGGAAAGTTTGGGGAGGAAAGGTCCACTGCTCCTGGGGCTCGTCTGTGTGACTTTTCTCTCTTTCCTATAGGGCATGGAAGGGATCAAGGTGTTTCTCCACGAAAGAGAGCTGTGGCTGAAATTTCACGAAGTAGGAACGGAAATGATCATAACCAAGGCTGGGAGGTGAGCTGGCCACCTCTGTGGAGGGCCTGGGGAATTTGTGGGGGAGACAGAGAAGGAAAGGTGTCTCGGAGACCCAAGAGACGGAGACCCAGAGAAGGCAGAGGGGCAGAGAAAGGCGAGAACAGAACAGAGGAGAGAGGGAGAATGAATGTATTTTGTTTGACCTGATTTGGGTTAGAGATGCCTGGAGAAGTCCTCCAGTGACCCCCATCCCTGGTGGGGGAAACGCCTGCAAGAAACAGGGCATTTCTCCCACCTCGTATAGAAGAATGGAGAGCTTGGGAGGCTGCGCTCAGTGGACGGATTGGTAGTGGGAGAACGTGGGGCGAGGGGGAGAGGGAACGGAAGGCCAGAGAGGTGCGGAGTCGGCCCAGAGATGAGACCCGCTTCCAGCCTTGACTCCTGGCCCCCGCCCTCCTTCCCACCCTCCTCGACCTTGGAGTGGGTCCAGAGTCCCACCCGATTGCCAAACTCTGAATTGTCGAATGTATTCGCTACCTCTTTCATTGTTTATAGAAAGCAGGCGAAGCCTTTGAAACTGAACCGGGGCTCGGCCGGGCTCTATATACAGACACCGATAAACACGGCAGTTTCGGCAGTTTTGCCAAGACACTCACCCCAGAGTTCCTCTTAAAAGCTCACAGTTTTGTGCTAGAAATGCTAGACGGCTGGAGGAGGCTGGGGGAGGGTCGTACAGCTCTGTATCTCAGGGTGCCAGTGTGCCCAGGCCCGGGGCCATCCTCACCACAGGCCTCCTGGTGCTCCGTGTCCTGAAGGGCAGAAAGCCCGCAGTCAGCCCCAAGCTGGCGTGTGAAGCCCGCCTGTGAAGCTGGCGAGGCCAGTAGGCCCGAGCCACCGAGTGTGTGAAGGGGGAGGGTGGAACTGTCTCACCAGATGCCCCCCGTTCTCTGGCCGAAGCCTCCCGCAATAAACTGACAACAGTGACATTTATTATTATTTGAAATTAAACAACGTCTGCTCCCCCGCTCGGCCTGAGTGAACTAGGAGGCGCGTTCTGTTTATACTGAAGAACTAAGCTCTTCTTCCCATTCTGCCGAGGAAGGAAAGACACGGCCCGGCCCCCTCTGCCCCCAGCCTGAGCCGAGGGGATTTAACTATAAAAGGCCTGGGAAGCCTCCCGCGCGCCCGCCTGCAGGCGCACGCGCTCGGGCAGATAAACACCACCAGGCTTGGGCTCCAAGGCCTCCCTTCACTCACCCCCTTCCCACCATCCCTGGGCGAGCCAGGATCCAGCAGCTTGTCCTTGCTGGCTTTCCGGGGTGCACGCCACCCCTCCTCCACAGGAGGGCTGGGAATTTGGAGTGCGCGCCCCAGAACGCAGAGGGTATGGGTACAGAGCCTGCAGGTCCCAAGCACCCACCTGCCCATGACCCCATTGCGGTTCTGGCCCCAGTCTTTCCGAAATCAAACCCCGATGGGTTTTGAGTTTCTTCACGGAGGGCCAAAGTGTTTAGACTCTCCAAGGAAGAGTGCCAGGCGCCTTGGAGAAGTTGGGGGGCATTTAGGAATAAAATTTGGCTACAGCCTCGTGGCAGAGGTCACCAGCTGAGCTCTGCTCTAGGGACAGAGGACCGTGGCCAGGACAGGAGGTGTATGGGCACCCATGGGTGTGCAGTCCCAAGGGCGCCCACAGCCTGGGGTCCTCATGAGGCGGCAGCAGTGGGCTCAGCTGCCCAGCACCCGCCTGGGCTCGGGAGGCCAGCTTTTCCCCTAATAGGGCTCCTTCTACCCCTAAATTAAAAACTAGGTCTCTGGCTCTGAAAAAGAGCGTTTACAAAGAACAGAAATGGAGGTTCCAAGCAGGGCCTTCGACATAACTAGTTCTTTCTAGAAGCCTTGGCCTCCAGCTTTCTATTTTCCTCCTGGTTACAAATAGTCAGCAGCCTCCTGCTCACCTCCAGGCCTATCTCCTCCCCAAAACTTCAAGGGAAACCTGGAATGGATCTTGCCAAGAGCGGAGCTGGGGCCACTTTTCTCCTGAGCGCTTCTCGAGGAGTTGCTTCTTTTATTAAAATGTGTAGACGTGCTCTTTACAGTACTGGCAGTAAGATTCTCTTTCTCTCTTTCTCCCTCTCTCCCGCTCCCTTTCTCCGTCTTCCTCCCCTTCTCTCCAAGGCGGATGTTTCCCAGTTACAAAGTGAAGGTGACGGGCCTTAATCCCAAAACGAAATACATTCTCCTCATGGACATTGTTCCGGCCGATGACCACAGATACAAGTTTGCAGATAATAAATGGTAGGCACCTACCGCCTACCGGCGTGGGCAGGTGGGGAGGGCGGGGGTGGGGAGTGGAAAGCCAGACTCCCCTCACCGCCAACCCCCCCCCCCCGCCCCCGCATTGAACCAAGAAACATTTTTTGAACTCCCTACTGTGGGCCGAGGTTTTTGCTGCTATCCCGGACCACCCTGAGAGGAAAACACTGCAGCCTTTAGCCCCCATTTTATAGACAAGAAAACTGAGGCTCGGAGTAAGTGAAGGGCCTGTATGTGTTGCTGCACCCGTGGGTTGTGGATTTTAAAAAAGGGTATTGTTTCCAAGCGCTGGAGGTATTTCTGGGGGCATAAAACCATTTATAGTTATTTTTTATGAGTTACCTGCTTTGAACATGCCTTTTTATGAAATTGCAAAGTCAGGCCATGGTATTTGAGTTAAACAGGCAAGAGAGGAGAGGTCCATTCCTCGGGTGGATTGCTCCCCTGGCTGCCAAGCGTGCAGAGGCTCGAACAGGAAGGCCCGTTTGAAAGCCCTCAAGGACTTCGCTTAAACTTTTTTGTCCAGGCTTCCAGAACCTACCAATGGTCCATGGGCAGCAAGAGGCTGCGAGGCCCGGCAGCGGCACCCCTGGTACAGGGGGAGGAGTGAGGTGGAAGAAGAAAGAGCTGGGTGGGGGGCTCACCTGGACACTGGCCGCAGGCCTTCTGAGCACCTGGGCTTACCGATGGCCAGGCGAGGCCCCAGGGTCAGGCCATTTCCAGATCATTCTCCTATTCAGCAGCCCTTGCCTGGCCTGGCACAGGACCCCGCCAGCATGACAGGGCGCTAAGTCTGCGTGGGTTTCACCCCTCCTTGGTCCAGGTCTGTGACGGGCAAAGCAGAGCCCGCCATGCCGGGCCGTCTTTACGTGCACCCGGACTCGCCAGCCACAGGGGCGCATTGGATGCGGCAGCTGGTCTCCTTCCAGAAGCTCAAGCTCACCAACAACCACCTGGACCCATTCGGGCACGTAAGTACCGCGTGCAGCCTGCTGTCAGTCTCTGTCCGTCTGTCGGTCTTGCTCTCTCTCCTCTTCCGGCTCCCTGAGTTTCTTTCTCTTCTTGGCTCCTCACACTCACGTTTTTCCTTTCCTCGCCCCACTCTACCCGCCTGGGTCTTTTCCTCTCTCGGCCTCCCTGATCCGGCCTTCTTCCCTTCTGGCTCCACCGCTCTGCTGTGCAGTCCTCTCTGTGCGCCACCGTGTCATGCTCTGAGGCTGCCTTTCCCCGGGGAGCTGGAGACCGGGGCCTGGGGGAGACTGAAGCGCACATGCCTGGTCTGGACCTCAGTCCCATCGGTGATGAGGGGTGGGGGGCTGTATGTTTCAGATCTCAGAAAACCGGGTCCTTCTAACCCAGTGGGGACTCGGCACTGGCTTGCCCAGAGGCCGGACCGTGGTGGGAGCTATAGATACCTTCCTTGCTCACTTCCAAATCCTGCCTTATTATTGAGATGTTCCAGCTGACAGGGAGACCCCAGGCCACCTGCTCCCTCTTTTACAGATGGGGAAACCAACCTGCCAGAGGCCAACCCTGGTACCAGTGTTTAGCTGATGGCTTGGGATTATCAGTTTTTCCCCCCAGCTTCCAGCTTCCCCCCTGCCCCGCCCCCACCATGCCCGGAGCAGGCAAACCTGGACCAGAGCCCTAAACCTGGAGTCCACATGGGCCCCCCAAGAGCGGCCTGGTGAACCCCCTGATTCTGCATGCGGGACATTGAGTGTGCTGCCCCCCCCCACCTTCCAAAAAAATGTGTAGCCTTTTAGCAGATTCTCTCGCTTTAAGTAGATTCTCTTCCTCAACAAAAAACAAATGAAGAACAAAACACCGATTTGGGGGAAAATGTCTCTAGATCTTTTCATTGGCAATAATTGATCACCAGGACAGGACACAGTCTCTGAATTCAGTGTGCTCAGAACCCTTGGCTTGATGATTCCACCATCAAGTGGGCTCCTTCATCTTCGGGCACTTGGCTTTCATAGCAACCTAGAAAGGAGGACACAAATGTGCAGCCTTTATAAATGGGAGTCCAGGGGACGGGAGGGCACTCGCCCAAGGTCATGCAGCTTGTATTTGGCAGCAGGGATTTGAGGCTTGATCTCTCTAGTTCCAAGAGTGGTCTCTATCTTGCCATGTGGTCTCTTTAGGGAAAGTCAACAAACACAGGGTCCTCGGTTGAGGGTACTGGGTTTGAATGGATTTGATCTGGAGGAGGACCTTTTGGGAAGGTCCAGACGGAGAACCTGCTCCTGTGGGGCCTTAGGGCTAAAACACTGAACCTGCAGAGTGTGTGGTGGGGTTGGGACAGTGATGCAGGCCGCCGCCGTCTCTGCACGTGGTCCCGGGGAGCTTGAACTGTTGGCCGCTGGGAGGAAGAGAGAAGGAAGGCCCATTCCCTTCTTGCGCGGTGGGGAAGGAGCAGAGGGTGCCGAGGGGCGTTTCAGGGCAAAACGCCCGGCCTCCTCCACGTTTCAACCAGGCAGTTTGCCCGCAGCCTGCCGCGGCGGGAGCGTCCCCGCCCAGAAATGCTCTCGAGCTTTCAGGGGCGTCGGCTGGCCGGGGTCAGGCATACCTGCGGGCGCAGAACGGGGACTCTATTTAGGTTAAGCGCCGCGGAGAAATGGGATGGTTTTCCCCTCCGGCCTGGCGGCCTCCAGGAGGCTGGTAGGACCCGTTTGTGGGGGACTCCGTGGAACTTTGGTGCCAGACAGCGGTACTGTCCTCCAGCCCCACTCGGGCGCCTGGCTTTCTCTCTGCGTGAGTCCCCGGGGTGCCCTTTGGGGTCGCGTTGGGGTGGGCGCCTGGGAAAGGCGCGCGGCCCCGCAACCAGGCTCCGGCACCCTTGCGAGTTTCCAGTCCTCCCCAACCCGCGGGAGAGGGAGGGCGCTCGGGGTCGCCCCGGACTCCCCCGCTGCCACGCAGCCCTGCCCCCCAACTCCGGACTCGGAGTCCAGAGCCGCCCTAATGAAATTAGGAGCCATTAGATCGCCCTCGCGCTGACGTCTCCACACTGTCCCCGGCCGTCAAAGCAATTTGGCTAAGCCGGGACGATGGACGCGCCGGCCGGGGACTGCGGCGGGCCGCGGGGCCCCGCTGCGTCTCTCTGTCGCCACGCCGCCCCGGCCGGCGTCGCTATCGGCCAGGGAGGCGGCCGGGGCCGCGGCGGCCGGAGATTAGAGCCGCGCGGCCGGGGTCGTCGGGAGCCGCGGGGGCCCCGGGTTCTCGCCCCTCCCCGCCTCCCCCCCCCCGCCTCCTCCGGGTGGGTCTCTAGGGTTGGCCCAAGGACCCTGCCGCAGGGTCATCAACGCAAATAATCAAAGACACCGGGACAGTCCCCGCCGCTCCAGTTGGCGGTCCTGGGGAAAAAGCAGGCCAGATTTTCAGCCCGTTGAGCGCGGCGATTGGCGCATTCGGTGGGTATATATCCGAACGCTTTGATAAATGTTCGCTTCCGCAGCCTCCCGAAATCATCAAAAGCCAGGCGTCCTCCAAACAGCAAAGCCAGTTTTATTAGCAAAGATGCTCATCTGCTAGGACTAGTCCTGCTCCGGCAGAGAGGGTGTGGAGTCTGGAGCCTCTCTCCCCCTTAATACTGATTAGAGTCATCCTATTAAAGGTGCAGCTGCAGCAATAAGACCCCGCTTGTCCCTGGGAGCACCTCAAACATTGAGACGGCAGAAAGGAGGGAGAAAGAGTGCATTCCCAAAAAAGTAGATGCAGTGCTTCTGTCTGGGGCCAAGTCTGGAGATAGTTCCCACCTGGGTCCCGAAAACGTTGATAAAAGTTGTAGAAAGGGAACCTGGAGAGAAGCAGGCCCTCCTTTGGTGGCGGTGTGATGGCGGGTGCTCTTCGGCTCAGCATCCGTGGAGGCCCACTCCCCAACCCATCATCTTCTTGTTTTCATTGACTCTACTTTGCACGTTCTCCTAACAAAGGGCCAAGCCTGTGACTTTTACTCCCAGTTCTGCAAACACTGGTCTTTTCCGTCTCTTAGAGGGTTTCTTTTTTGGGGGGGGCGGGGAATGTTTGTTTATTCGTTTGTGTCTTCTCCCCTTTCATTCCGAAATTGACGCTTAAACGTCCCCTTGGAAAACCGGTTCCTTACTCCAGACTTGCTTCTCTCCGATTGGGGGGCTGGGGAAGTACCCTATGCAGGAGTTAATTTATTAAGCAAACTTTATTAAGAATTCTGATTTACTGCCGTGTGTGCTTTGGGTAGATTCCTGGAATATTACCTTGGCTTTTTGGGTTGGAAATTGTCATTTTTGAAATGTTTCTTTTTAATGAAATCACCGGCCCCCTTTTCCAAACAGGAGAAAAAAAATCAGACCGTTTTTTGAGAGCCTGTATAAGGAGGTGAATTTTAAGGGTGGAAAGAGGGGATTTATCGGGAAACAAAGGGGTTTTGATTTTTCTTACAATCTCATTTTCCTTATTATTTTTAGATTATTCTAAATTCCATGCACAAATACCAGCCCAGATTACACATCGTGAAGGCGGATGAAAATAATGGATTTGGCTCAAAAAATACTGCGTTCTGCACCCACGTCTTTCCTGAGACGGCGTTTATCGCGGTGACTTCCTACCAGAACCACAAGGTAAGCCCAAGGCCCGGGAACCGGCATGCTGGGGCCACTGCCTGTGCCTTTGCAGGAGGATGCAGCGGTCCCCTGCTGAAACTGTTAAGCTCCAAGGGCTTCGTTCCCTCACAGCGGGCACCAGCTTCTACCCCAGGGGGCTGGGGCAGGGACTAAGCTACAGCCTGGAGGTTCCAGCTCTCTGTACTATATTCAGGGTTTTGCGGGACTCTCTTTCTCTCTGTCTCTCCTTGTCTCTCTGTCTCTGTCTCTCTCTCACACAAACACACACCAGTTAGAAACAAACTTGTCAGACTGTAGGTGACCGCGCATTCAAATACAGGAACGCATCTCTCTGCACACGTGAAGTGATCGCCAGGAAGAAAGGTCACTTTATTGCAGGGCTCAGTGCTCTTGGGTGGGGGCCTGGTACCACCTTTGTGGAACCTCTTTCTCGGGTGAGAGTCTCTCCTCCAGTCTGCCTTTGGGATGCATTTCAACTTGACCTGGGGCAGGTGGCAAAGTTGCCAGGGGCCTTGGGCTTGGGTTTGCAAGATGCTTCTCTCATTGTCTCCGTGGTTACTGATCTCGGACAGACCACAGTGAGGCAGGGTTGGCATTGTTGAATATCAGAACAAAAACCCAAAAATCCAAGCGACCTGTGCCACCGCACCCCCGACCCAGCAACTCCCAGGAGTTAGAGGAGACTGCAGCAAACCACAGCTTGCGGATGCCTCAGTCTTCCAGAAGGAGGCTGCAGTGTGGTGTAGACGTAGGAGGGTACAGCTTGATCCTGTCAACGTCAGATCCCACGCTGTTCAAAATCCAGGCCCCACTTTGGGCATTTCCAAGCTGGACAATGGTGCTGGAACAGGGTGTACCCCCTCCCAGCAGGTTGGGGGGGTATTTTTTCTTTTTTCCCAGGAGAAAGGGCTCCTCTTGACTTCTCATGGTTCACTTCTGTTCTTTCGAAACTTAAGTGCCTCTGGATTCATTTTATTGGTGGGGGGGGCAGGATTGAGTGATTCTTAAGCCTAGTTCTGAAAAGACATATAGAATCTGGCAAGGCAAGATACAGGGAAGGGGGAACTGTAGGGGCGCAAGTTGTTAGCATTAAGTAGTGTGATCTGGGTTGGAGGACTGTTGAAGGCGAATATAGGGGCTTCCATGTGGGATCAGTGAGGGCAGGTCACTGGGGCAACATAAGGAGATGGACATGGGGATGGTGACGCCCTTCCTCCTCCACAGCTCCTGTCCCCACCTGCAAGGTAGGGTGGCGGGAAGTTACAGGGGCCGTGAAGCCAGGTGGAAGAGGCCAGGGCAGGGGTGAGGGGTGGGTGTAGTGCCCTAAAGCCTCCCGCCTACACACTGGGTGTCAGATAACACCCCCTCCCCAGGAAGCCAGGGCAGTTATAAGATGGTAGTGTCCAAATTCAGCTTGTCAGTCACCAGGCCAAGTTGTGATGGATGGTCCTTTCTAGGCTGCAAGTCCTGTCTGGGGACCCAAGCCTTGAGAGAGCGTCCCTCCAAAAGAAAACTCACTCTCTCTAAAATGCAATTACTCTTTAAAGGGGAAGAAGGATTTTTCTGAATTCCACCCCTGACTTGTCAAACCAACAAGAGCAAAAACATTAAGGTCAAATACTCTGAAAATTGCAAAACTATTTCAGGCTAATTTGGGTCTGGCTGCTAGAAACCTGTTTCCTCTATGGCTATTGTAAATCTATGTTTAACTTTGTGGTGACAGTCACAGGGGAAAAAATAGCAATGAGCACACTCAGTCTCACTGCTCCTTCCCTCCCTCTCCTATGTATGTACGTACACACACACACACACACACTTAGACCTGACAGAGGGTCCCTCTCATATGTATGTACGTACAAACACACACACACACACTTAGACCTGACAGAGGGTCCAAAGATATATCAGATTTTCTTTTCTTTTCTTTTCTTTCTTTTCAATTAAAAAAGCCCAGACTCACACAGAAAGGACAGGAAATGGTGGACTCATGAAAGTGACCTGCTAAAGAAAGATGTGAGTGCTTGGGTCCTTTGGGGGAAATCCCTAAGCTCTGTGTAGTTATATGATCTTAGGGTCCGTCAGGCAAGGCTAGATCTGGGAGAGCATGTACTCTCTCTCTCTGTCTCTTTCTTTGTTTTTTAAAAGGTTTTATTTATTTGTCTCAGAGAGAGAGAGCTAGCACACAAGCAGGGTGAACGGCAAGCAGAGGGAGAAGCAGACTCCCCGCTGAGCACAGAGCCTGAGGCGGGACTCGATCCCAGGACTCTGGGATCATGACCTGAGCCGAAGGCAGATGCTCAACCAACTGAGCCACACCAAGGCGCCCCTCTTTCTTTGCTTTTTGAGGCATAACTGTCATACAATAAACTGCAATATTTGAAGTGTACAATTTGACGAGTTTGACATGTATTTATCATTGTGACCACTTGTGAATATACCCCACTCCCCCATATTTCTATTTTTTTTAAATGTCCTTCCCAATGAATATATTTAGTGATCTGTGCTCTTGAAGGAGTGTCTGCCCAATAGGGTGTATACGTGTGAGATTTGAGTGCAATCTAGGGGATTGTGTGTCTAAATGCTCCTGGGTCTAAAAATGTGTGTCTCCAAGTCCGCATCTGGATAGATGTGTGTCTGATGACCACACAAAGGGTTCACAGATGGGAATTTGAGTATTGTTTTGTTTTGTTTTTAATTGGTTGGGCCATAAAGGTTTTTTTCACCAGCCTGACATCCGGAAGAGGGATTTCATAGGAGACAACTTTCCGTCACTCTTCCCCCTCCCACTTTTTAGTTGTGAAGTACCGAAGGCCCCTATGTTCTTTGTCAGGAGATAGTCTAAAGCAGTAAAAATTTCCAGCCCACTCCAGGGCCGCTGCAGGCGTTCCCCGCGTGGATGTAGGACATGTGACTTAAACACTCAGGCCAAGCTGAGTGTGGTTTGTGGACTCTGTCTTGTTCCTTTATTGTCCCACTCGGCGAGGTATTGAGACTCTTGATTTCGTGGCCAGAAGCCACCTGCGCTCTTACTCACCCTTGCCTAGGGTTCAGGTGGGACTCTGGAGGCAGGCTGCCTGGGTTTAAATCCATTTGACTTGGGCAAGTTACTGGATTCAGTTTTCCTCCTTTGTAAAATGGGGATGAGACAAGAATTGCTTGTGTTTATCATCGTGAGGACTAAATGAGATAATCTTTGGAAAACGTGTAGCACAGAGCATTGCACGTATGCTCACGCAGAGGGTGAGTGATGATGCTGTGGATTGACTACTCAACTGATCCGTTTATAAGAGGACAACTCCATCTAAAACGCAGGCCCTGGGAAACTCTTTGCCTTCCCTGATTATTCTAGAATCAGAAGAACTGAGCTTTCAAATAAGTTCTTTTTACCGTGTTTGAAAAACCACTACAAGTGTCAGTCTTGGTGGGTGAGTTCGTTCAGTCCCTGCACCTGCCATCAATTCAAGGACTCTTTGCCCCGCATGATGCTTTGGATACATGAACAAGTACGGAACAGCAATCCACGGGATTAAATTGACAGGACAATTTGGAACACTTATTTTTGGTGTAAGTGGCCCGATGCCTTTAGAATGCTCGTTCTCTGCTCGGATGCTGGTATCCCAGGTGGAGGCAGGTACCCTGGCGACCTTCATTTGTTGGGCAGGGGTCACACACCCGTACGCCGTGGGGCTCCTAATGACACGACGACATGTTTCCTCAACCCAGCTGTGATCCCAAGCTGGATTTGGGAGTTATTTTCCCAGATGGCTGGCAGCTTGAAAAAGATATTTAAAAAGCTCGACTCTTCCGCAGCAGTGACGTTTGCTCTGTGAAACACGTTTTTGTAAGGTTTTCGATGAGGCTGTCAGCAGCGCCCAGAACAAGCCCTAGAAATATTTAGGTGTTAAAAAAAGGTCACATGGGCATTTCATTTCTCTGCTCTTGCAACAATGGCTGTGTATGCAAGCCATGTCTATCCCCCGATATTAACTTACTTTGTCATTAAAAGGCATTTTTCCTCCTGCTTAAATCATTGTGTAAAGAGTCTGTATTTATGAGGTATGAGCTTTCTGGTTGGGACCAGGAAATGAACCCCTAATAGAGAGACATAATTAAGATTTTTGGCCCTCGTGAGGGTTTTTTTTTTTTTTTCAAAAGCAAGAATTCACAACAATTATTCTCATTAATTTTTACAACCTCTGTCTCACTGGTTGGAGCTGGTATTTATATTTGTTTTAGCCCTCACCCTCCACCCTCCCCCGGATATCCGGTTTTATGCTGATCTTGGAGAGGGCATACATTTGTGTGACGAGTGCAAGTCCGTTTCATTGGAGCCTTTTAGTAGAACTCAGACATCCGACCGGATCATATGCCTGTGAGTGAGCTAGCCAACATGCAGCATGTTTGGAAGGGAATTCCAGAGCTGGGGTTTGTACGGACTCAGGCGGACATTTTCACCTGCAGCTGAGCTTGTGTATGAACATTTCTCAAGGGTAATAACCCTTATGTCTTCTAGGTCTCCATACTCAGTCTACGCACAAGACTTATGTAAGATCAAAGTACTGAAGTGTCTGTGTAGCAAACCGTGCTTGTCCTCTGCAGTCATATTTTTGGAAGCTCAAACATTAGGTAGTAGTAGGACCTGTTTGGGGTGCAAGGAATTGTTTCAAGCAAAAGATTTTTGCTGATAAAAATACCAAAGCCCACCTCCCCTCCTTTTTTTTTTTTTCTTTTTTTTCCCTTCATGGTAATTGTTTGTCCCCAGCTCTTGGTGGAACAGAGACATCATGGACTAGTCACTCATTCAGCCCCGATACCACACCCCGTGTTGCCTACAAAACTCGCAGGGAAGTGCAGCGAGGATTTCCTCCACCTCTTTTTTGAATGATCTGATTTTTACTTCACATTTTGAGAATCCTCCCCCCACTCCCCGCTCCCCGCCTTTAAAAAAAGCATGATTTATGGTCAGTTGGGTTGCATTTTTTAATGACAAAGCCTAAGTGGGAAAGAAAGCTCTACTGGGTAATGGGTTGTTGGACTCAAAACAGAAGTGGATTCGGGAGTGCACATTTTAAAGACTGTGTTCCTAAGAGACCTTTACAGGTTTTTCTACTCATTCTGAAGGGTCAAGTCAAAATCAGAAAGTTGTAGGAATGGGTCCAGTTTAAAAAAAAAAATGAGGGAGGGGGAATGTGTGTATACCTAAAGACCCACACCTATTTAAAAATTTTTAAAATATGTCTTATTTTTTTAAAGTGGTTTTAGGGTGACAGCAAGGTTAAGTGTGCCCCCGCCCCTCCACAAAGGCTCCCCCACCATCAACATCGCCCACCAGACTGGGACATTTATTACAATCGATGAACCTACACTGAGACATTGCTATCACCCAGAATCTACATGAGGGCTCGCTCTTGGGGGTCGTAGATTCTGTGGGTGTGGACACATGTAGAGTCACGGACATGTATCGACCGTTCCATTATCATACAGAATAGTTTTACTTAAAGTCCTCTGTGCTCTGCCTATTCATCCCTCCCTCCCCACACAAACTCTGGCAACCACTGGTCCCTTTTTGCTGTCTCTATAGTTTTGCCTTTTCCAAAATGTCGTATGGTTGGAATCATATAACATATTTTTAAAACTTGAATTTTATGTATATTTTTTATGGCAAGCACACACACACATACACGTGTGTAATATAGTAATTTCATGTTCATTATAGAGTCTTGGAGTTAGAAGGAAACCTTATAAGGCCATCTCTTCTGGAAAACAGAACATACCAGAATGCCTGCCCCTAAAGGGATGACTTATAGGTGCATTCACTAGTTACTACTCCTGGTTTCTCAAAGGAACTTGCTCGGTTTCTCAAAGTCTGGAACTCTCCTATGGGGGGTAGGTAGCTGAGGTAGTTTTTGTGGGTACTTGCATACGATGCGATCACAGAAAATTGTTCTTATTTTGATTATCTTTCTTTTTTTCTTTAAATTTTGTTATTGTTATGTTAATCACCATACATTACATCATTAGTTTTTGACGTAGTGTTCCATGATTCATTGTTTGTGCATAACACCCAGTGCTCCACGCAGAACGTGCCCTCTTCAATACCCATCACCAGGCTAACCCATTTGATTATCTTTCTATTCATCTCTCAGGGAGAGAGTTCAGTCCCAGTGTGTGTTAAATACGTCTCTAAAAGTGTCTCGTTTCCCCTTGCAACAAAGTGAGGGCAGGCCTTGGGTTTAGAACTTTCTGCGGGGGCCAGTAGAGAGAATTTGATATAATGGTTTTCCTTTTATTGAGTAGCTCATGATTCCAGCTTGAGATAGAGAAAAGTGATACCATATTTTTTGTAAAATAAATATAAACAAAAAGTGGTTAGATTTAAATCAAAATACTAAGCAGAGACCAGTGTAGAGATAGATATATTATAGAAATAATTTTACATTATAAGTATAAATAATAATATATATTATATACCATTATTATATAAAAATAAGATTATAGATATAATACAATAACGATGGTGAAGGTGAAGCTTGCGTGATTGAACCTCATGAATGCTGCTGCGGTGGCTCTAAAATGATTCGATAAATAAAAATTCAATTCAAACGCAGCTTTTAGGAAATACTTTTAGCAGACTCCATACGGATATACTCTTTCACCTGGATCTGTTACTCTATGCTCACGCTTATAGACAATGTGTTGATGGTTTCCATGGAAGTTCCGACCCTTGAACCCAAGATCCTGTTCTATTGCTAAGTTTTGTACATTGCAACAAACATTCGCAAGAAGAGGGCTCTGTGTTCTTTATCTGGAAAACTGAAGGGCTTTGGAACTGATAGACAGCTATCATGTATGTTACCGTTCTCTCTGTGGGTGTTTATTTAATCCGGTGCCATCTTCCACTTGTGCTAGCTGTGTCTGTGAAGCTGAAACGAACAAAGCATGAGACAGAGCAGAATTTTGAAAGCAACCAAGTTTCTCCAAATGGCGCTCACCAAGCTGCGGGACGAGCAACACCACGTCCCCGTGCCCAACTTTCCAAGGGGAAGGAGGGCTCCCAAGTGCTGAGGCCTAGATTGTGTTTGAAACACAACATGCTAGGATTAAAAAACAAACCAACCCAGCTGGAGTGATGCAGAGTATGACTCCAATTAACGGGCAAACCGAAACCAGGTTTTTTTCCCCTTTTAAAAGTGGTCTGATCTAGGGCATTTTTCAAAGCCTCCTCTTGAATGAAGTGGTGGGTCTCACTGACGTGACTGGCTTAATTCGCTTCTTTTGGTCGCCAGAGGCTGCATTTCCAGCCATCAAGTGAAAACCAACTCTCTCTCTCTCCTTTCGGCAGATCACCCAATTAAAGATTGAGAATAATCCCTTCGCCAAAGGATTCCGGGGTAGCGATGACATGGAGCTGCACAGAATGTCAAGAATGCAAAGGTATGAAGGTGGAGCGCTGAGCTCCCTTTTCTCCATGTGCCCCCCCCGCCCACGCCCCCAAGGAACCCAGGAGAACCAGCAGCAGCCCAGCACCTCCCTCCTCCAGCCTCCCTGCCTGCAGAGGCCCAGGCACGTTAGCCATTGAGGAAAGGCGAGACAGGCACCTTCAGTCCCACCGTCTGACGACCCCCACGTGCTCCCCTGTGGTTTACTCCATGGAACAGCCCTGGGTGGTGGTGGTGGGGGGGAATGTGTCCTCCGGGGATGGGAGCGGGGAGAAGGCACCAGGGAACTTGGCGTTCTCCATCTGCCCCGGGACAACAAAAGTTCCAACTTTCTCTCCCTTTTCTTTGCCTTCTCTCTCCTTCCCGTGAAATCAGTCCTTTCTCTCTTTCTTCCCATAAGTCACAGCCGATGAATGATTTTCTTTTTTGGCAACAGCTCTTGGTAAATGAAAGGGAAGTTAATGACTCGATTTCCTGGGGGTGAAATGCAGACAAATTTGACACCACGTGGTGGTCTGGGGGCACTGGGGGATTGGAAGCTGGTGATAAAAATTGCTCGGTATTTTTACATATCCTGTGGTCACAGTCGCTGATATGATGAATAGAAGGGGCTGTAGCAAATGTACATAGTGGGAATTTGGTCTGATTTGAAAGGATTGTACGAGCATTGCCAATTTTGTCAAACATTCTCTCTACCTCTTGATATGCTTCCAAAATAGCTTACCATATGGCAAGAGAGTTAGAAATACATCTTGATTCCTTTGACCAAGAGAGGGTTCCCCGTCCCCCCATTTGGTGGGTTTAGTGTTTCAAAATAAAATGAGATCACGTAGGAAGCTTTTCCTTATCCTTTCTGGAAGACATGAGAGGGGTGAGTCAGGCAGGTGGACGGACGTACCCATTCAAAGAAAGATAAGGGATCTAAGAGAAGAACAGAGAAAGGCCACAGTGTTGTCCTTTTCACACTGGTTTGGAAATTCACGCCATGGAAATTGTTTTTAGCGAGCGGGGCTTCCCTGATCTAAGTTTTCGTGCTTTTATTTATTTTTATTTATTATTATTTTTGTAAAAGCACTTTTTTTTTGAAAAAAAGATTTTATTTATTTATTTGTCAGAGAGAGAGAGAAAGAGCACAAGCAGGGGGAGCGGCAGGCAGGGGGAGAAGCAGGCTCCCCGCTGAGCAAGGGGCCCAATACTGGACTCGATCCCAGGACCCCGAGATCGTGACCTGAGCCGAAGGCAGACGCTCAACCGACTGAGCCACCCGGGCGTCCTAAATTTTGCATGCTTTTAAAAAAGAAATATACTGTGACCTTCAGGTGTGCACATCCCCGCCCCACTCGTATGCATTTCAGCATTTATAATCAGTTTTCTTCCCGATCACAGATTAATAAGATGCTTTTTGTGGCTAAAAGAACCAAGTTCTTAAACTATTATTGTTAAAAAAAAATAACAATTGACTTTTTGAATGTCTGCATTTTGAAATTGGAGTTGGACTGAGTCTATGGTCAGTGGAAAAGTTGACAACAGGTGTCACAGAAAGCAGGTGGGGGGCGAGGGGTCAGCCTGTTTGCGGCCCTGGGTTCAGAGTGCTGGGCTGGCGTTGCTGGTCACGCCCCCCTGTCGCCCTGACACTAGTTGTCACTACGGGATTTTAGGCTTTGACAGAGTCTCACCTCCATCCTCCTGCGGTTGAGGGTCGAGGCCGTGCATGTAGGGACTGGAAGCAAGTTGCCCCGTTCCAGCCTGCAAACCAGGGGTCTTCCCTCCTTTCCACAAGGTCAAGCACAGGTGGGATCATGGATTTGAGATGTTATAAATCGCCCCTTCGCGTGCAACCAGTCACCAGGTCTGGTTACCCTCAGTATAAGGTCCAGACTCTTTCCCATGGTGGGCCATGCCCTTCTCGTCTGACCCGGCTGCTCCCCCTCGCTTTGCCCCGCACCAGTGCCCCCTCTCCGTCTCCATCATGCGGAAGGGGATGCCCCACGCCTGTATCCTTCCCACTGTTTTTGGCTCTTGGAACAGCATGTCTGGTCTGCCTCAGGCTTTCTCCCCTCCTCCTCACTCGGCCATCTCCTGCCCATCACTAGGTGTCCTTGGAGCTCTCCTTTCTTCCAAGAAGCGTTCCCTGGCCCCAGACTGTGGATGTCTATCCCCAGGACTCCTCCTCGCTGCTTTCCTATGTCAGGCCCGGGCCCTGCACTTTGGGAGCTGATGGGATAGAATGATAGACACGGAGGAGAGTCAGGTGGGGAGTGCAGGTGTCTGAGAGATGAAATGTCGGTCACCCCGGGGACTCTCCCCTAAAGTTTTAAACACAGCCGGTTAGATATTTAGGTGGATGACTCTACTTTGGTCTGAATTGGCTGTCATCCTCCCCTTGTTAGTGCAGATTGGCTGAGGGGTCGTCTAGGTGTCCTCTTAGGGTAGGCACTTGCAGAAAAAAGGCGGGAAAGGGTGGTGGGTATTCAGTAGGCACTATTTAATTGACATGCACGGTTAAAACCTGCAGCCTAAGGACCACATGTGTCTTTGTGGCCATGTTAGGAGTTGCCTTGGGGAGTCAGAGGGCTGAACTAAGCACTGACCAGGCTGGGAGAGTGAACAGGGTCATCTGCCCAGTCCTGTGCACATGGCCCCTGGGAAGGAGATGCAGTAAGGCAGAGTGGCTCCAACAGAAGGCTATGGGACTCAGACGAACCTGGCTTCCATCCTTGCTTCTGCATTTATCAGCATGTGACCTCGGGCAAGTGACTTAACCTCCCAGAGCCTCAGTATCTCCACCTGTAAAATGGGCATAAATGACAGCTTCCACTTTCTAGGGTTCTTTTAAGAATTATATGAGAAAATGTCTATAGGGTGCCTGGTTCCTAGTCCACGCTCGATACAACGTATCTGATTTGGGGGAAGACTCCCAGGTACTCCCAGTTTTGCCCTGGTTCGACATTTATTCTGGGCTGTGGTCCCAATCCTAGTGACAAGTAGGGAAGGTGGCTGTCCAGAGTCGGCCGTGATAACGGCCAGGCTGGAATGGCAGGCTCCCTGTTCATCTTGCAATCCTGTTTCCTGTCCCCCACACACCCAGTGACAGCTGGCCCCGCGGGGGGAATAAGCAAGAGGAATGACATTTCCTCTAATTCCAACAGTTGGAAGAAGAGGAGAGGGCCGGACACGGACTCGCAGTCAGCCCGCATCAGTAACATCTGGATTCGCTTGGCCAATGTCTGGGCACTCACCCTGCTATCTCTCCGAGCCCCGCAGTCTGCGTTTGGAAAATGCAGATGATGTCTTAGTTATTTTTCCACCGTTCAGTTATGGGCTCTGGTTACAGAAGCAAGAACCGCTTATTATAAAAATGGGCGAGCTGTGGAAAAAGCACGAGGAAGAAGATAAAATTATTTTAAAATCCTGTCTCTAGCCGACTGACTAGAATAAGTGCCAAGGTTATTTCAAAAGGTTAATCTGCGGCTTAAGAAGACATGTTACCCTAAAAAAACAGTATTTCCCAAATTGCAGGACCTCTACCCTGGTGACAGATGGGATGATTTTAGAAGATGTACAGACACGGGCACACCAGGCTGATTTTATAGACGGTATTGCTTGGAATGAGACTATGTTCTAAAGGAGGAAGGAGAGAGGGAGGGAGGGGGAGAAGTAAGGCTGATTATTTAAGGGAAGATATTAAATAAGAGTAGAGCTGGTATAAAGGTTTGGTGAACCTGTCAAGGTGATATGCAAATGACAGAAATTTGGGAAATATCCCTACATGCTCATCCTAACAAGAAAGGTGTGGGAGCCTTCCTGCTGTTTGAAATGACCTAGGCCCTGGTTTTCCGGGGAACGTTGCTTTCTTTGACCTTGGCTTCGGTCTTTAAGATGTGTTCAGGCAAGCTGTGAACTTCCTAAGAGTCAAGGGTGCTGGGGGCCAAGGCCAGGGCCACTGGGGGTGGGGGTGGGGATGGCGGGGGGAGGGGCAATGGAGGAAGGAGGGTCGGAGAAGGTCAGAGCTAGGTCTTGTGGGAAGAGCGAGATTTGTGTTGGGAAGAAGGGTTTTCTGGATTGGGTCGGGGTAGAAGTGGGCAAGGATCTACAAGTCTGGAGTAGGGGTCCCATTCTGATGCTCTCTGGAAGCCCGCTGGGGTGGCACAGTGACAGGGTGGTTCCGGGGCCGGGGGCGGGGGGGGGCAGTTGCTCCGAGAACATGGCATTCTAGAGACAGAAAGGACCACAGGAGACAACATCTCTTCTAGTTTTGCAGAAGGAGAAACTGAGGACTGGAGATTCATTTATTTCTCCAGTGTTTGATCTGTCCATTTGTTATTCAGGGAACACATATTTATTAAGTGCTCACGCTGTGGCAGGTCTTGAGGATGCCAAAGGTGAATCAGCACCCAGAGGAGCAGGGTCCACTGGTGGAAAGCTCCAGAGTTGGGCTCCCCCAACTCCGCCCAGCCTCTACTTCTTCATCTGTAAAATGGGGGATGATTACAGAACCTACCTCCAGGGCTGTTGCATGGGTGGAAGGAGGTAATGAGTGTGTACTGATGACTATTGCTACGTAACAGAGTATTCCCGGGCTTCACTGGGCCTGGCTGGGAAGGGGCCACAAGCTAGGCCATCCTTTGTCTGTGTGTGATGGTAAATCTGGGACAGCCAAAGCTCTAGAGACCACTTAACCTGTGCCTCCACAGCCCGCTAAAGGGACCTGGAAGGGCAGGCGACCTCAGTCTTGAGGTCTGAGATTCAGAGCGCCCTGAATCTCATCCAGGTGCAATCTGCTAACCCTCGCTCGGTAATGCTCGTCAGTACTACTGATGGTAAAAAGACCAGCCATTGCTTGTCACCACTGTACGCAAGGTGAAGCAAGAGGTAACAGGAAAGCACTTTTATTTTGTTCATGGTTTGTGGGTCAGGAACTCGGAAAGGGCTCATCTGGGCCATTCCTGCCTGTCTTCAGGTGGTGGCTGGGGCAGCAGTAGCTGAAGGCCCCAG